AAATATTTACAGTCGTTATATCTTTTTGTTTTGTTTTTCCCTTTGTGATTATATAATGTTCCCCTTTTTTTCTCCTGTTACAGTCTTTGTTTTAAAGTCTGTTTTGTCCAGTATAAATATTGCTCCTTTCTTTTCATTTCCATTTGCCTGATAATACTTTTCCATCCCTTCACTCTCATTCTGTATATTTGTGGGGTTTTTTTGTTGTTGTTGTTGTTTTGTTGTTTTTTTTTTTTTTTGTAGTAAACTCTACTCCAGTGTGTGGGCTTCCAGCTCGACCCTGATATTGAGTCGCATGCTCTACTGACTGAGCCAGCCAGATACCTCGATCTGTATGTGTCATTAGGTCTGAAATGAGTTTGTTATAGGCAACATATAGATGCATGTTGCTTTTTAAATCTATTTTATTACTCTGTGTCTTTTGACTGGAACTGTATAGTCCATTTATTCAAAGTAATTACTACCATTTGGTTACTTGTTTTATGATTGTTTGTAGTTCTCTGTTTCTTCTCTTTCTCTCTTCTCTCATGGTTTTTGGCTTTCTTCAGTGATACACTTGGATTTTTTTTCTCTCTTTTTTTTTAAAAAGATTTTATTCATTTATTTATGATAGACATAGAGAGAGAGAGAGAGGCAGAGACACAGGCAGAGGAAGAAGCAGGCTCCATGCCGGGAGCCTGATGTGGGACTCAATCCCGGGACTGCAGGATCATGCCCTGGGCCAAAGGCAGGCGCCAAACCGCTGAGCCACCCAGGGATCCCCGGATATTTTTTTTCTTTTTGCATATCTATTACTGGTTTTTGATTTGTGGTTACTGTTAGGTTTTTATTTGACATATTATGCATACAGCAGTCTAAATTGATGTTTCTTAAGTTTGGATCCATTCTTTACTCCTCTCCTCCCCATGTTATAGATATATGGTGTCATACTTTACACCATTTTATTTTTGTGAATCCCTGACTGATTTTTATAGATATACTTATTTTTACAGCTTTTGTGTTTCCTGCTTTTCTTATTCCTACTTATGGTCTTTCCCTTTCACTCAAAGAGTCCCCTTTAACATTCCTGTTGGACTAGTTTACTTGGTCATAAGTTCCTTTAACTTTTGTTTGTCTGGGAAACTATCTCTCCCTCTATTTTGAATGATAGCTTTACTGGATACAGTGTTCTTGGCTGCAGGTTTTTTTTTTTTTTTCTTTCAGCGCTTTGAGTTTATCATGCCACTTTCTTCTGACCTGCAAAGTTTGTGCTGAAAATCTTCTGATAGGCTTATAGGGTTTCCCTTATATGTAACTTTTCAGTTGCTGCTTTTTTTTTTTTTTTTAAGATTTTATTTGTTTATTCATGAGAGACACAGAGAGGGAGGAAGAGAGAGAGAGAGAGAGAGGCAGAGACACAGACAGAGGGAAAAGCAGGCTCCAAGCAGAGAGCCCGACGCAGGACTCGATCCTAGGACTCCAGGATCAGGCCCTGGGCCGAGGGCAGTGCTAAACCAGTAAGCCACCCGGGCTGCCCTGTTGCTGCTTTTAAAATTCTTTCTTAACAACTACTTTTTGCCATTTTAATTCGTATGTGTTTTGGTGTGGACCTCCTTTGTTTGATTTTGTTAGGGAATCTCTATACATCCTGGATCTGGATTTTTGTCCCCCCCCCCCCCCGATTTAGAAATTTTCTGCTATTATTTCTTTAGATAAATTTTCTGCACCCCTTTTTTCTTCTGGGATCCCTGTAATGGGAATGTTATTATGCTTGTTGGTGTTACTGAGTTCCCTAAGTCTATTTTCATATTTATTATTATGTTTCTTTCTCTTGTTTAGCTTGATTGCTTTCCATTATTCTATCCTAGAGGTCACCACCATTTATTCCATCTAGTATATTTTTAATTTTAGCTATTGAGTTCTTTGATTGGTTTTATTTTATGTTTTCCATCCCTTTGTTAAAGCCTCACTGAGATTCTTTACCTTTTTCTCAAGTCCAGTGAATTATTTTTATGACCATTACTTTACATTCTCTATCAGGCATATTATTTAGGTCTCTTGCTGTGATTTTTGTTCTATTTCTCACTTGGAACATATTCATCTGTATCCTCATTTTGTCTAGCTCTCTGTGTCTGTTTCTGTGTGTTTAAAAAGTCAGCTGTCTTCTGCTCTTGAAAGTAGTAGCCTTATGGAGAACAGGTCCTGCAGTGTGCTGCAGTGCAATGTCCCCTACTCACCAGAGCCTGGCACTTCAACCATATCTTCAGTGAGTGTTGCATGTGCCCTGCTGTTGTGGCTGAACCATGTTTGCCTTCAGTCCAGTCATCTGCAATCGTTCTCTTGGCTTGTTGTGGCAGGGTTTGGTCCCTCAGTTATTAATGGGCTAGTATGGGGCCACCTTGGACTTAAAGTTGAGTCAGATCAGGGATTTGCCAGAGACGCAATAGCACCTAACTATAGGTGAATGTGGGGGCAGGGTGCTTGGTGCCAGCAAGGTCCAAGTTGACAGGACCAGACCTCTAGCACCATATAGACTGAGACAGGTTGTGTTGGAGGGGACAGATCTGCAGAAGTGCTCAGGATTGGGATGCATGGTGTTAGCAAGGTTTGCATGGGTCTATTGTGAGAGGAGACCCAGATCAGAGGCCTGGCTGGTGGGGGCATGTCAGAAAGAGAACAAGGAACAGGGCACACTCTTAGCAAGTTAAGTAGCAAGTGTTGATGATGCACTGGTTCCTAAAGGTGTTGGTGTGTTGATTCTTGGGGTAAGGCATGAAAATGGTTACTGCCAGTAGTTTTGTTCCTGGAGAAGTCTCTCAAGGATCCCTGCCTCTCCAGCACATGCTTTGAGATTTATATAAACCAATCTCCCTCCTGTACATCCCAGGCATTTTTCAAACTGCTGTATTGTGCTGTATTGCATGGGGACTCTTTGTTTTGCTGCCTCTTTAAGGGCAGGGACTCAGTTTCCTCTTGTCCTCCTGGCTCCCTTCTGTCTCTCCCTCCTGTCTCTCCCATGAGCCTGCTGATTTGTAAGGTTCCAGGTCTTAAGCTTAAGAACTACTGAAATTCAGCCCCTCTGGTTTTCAAAGCCAAATGTTATGGAGATTGGTCTTCCGTGTGTGGGCTCCTTGGTGTGAGGGTCTGTTTCTGTCCCTTCTCTGTGTCCATGGTCTCCCTCTCTCCTGTGGACAGCCTTGCAGGTCCATTTAGCCCCTCTTTGAAGTGGCCTTGGCCTCTTCTCTACATTTAGCTGTAGAGAGTCTGATCTGCCAGCTTTTGGGGCATTTTCTGGGTTATTTATATTGAATTGGTTGTTATCTAGTTGTATCCCAGGGGTGGGGAGAGCTTATGGACCTCTTACTTTGCCATCTTCCCCAGAAGTCTCCTGACATTATGATGTTGTTATTTTGGGCATGTATCTTGGTACACATGTGTAGGAGTTCTTCTAGGGCATATTTCTACAAGTGGAATTACTGCATCATTGATATATATATATGCCCAGCTCATTGAGTTATGCCATTTTATTTTCCAAAGTGGTATTCCAGTTCATACTTCTATTTACTATGTGTAAAATTTACCCTTACTTAACATTTTCAGCAACTCCAGACTTAAAAAAAAAAAGTTGCCAATCTGATGTATGTAAAATATTGCTACTTAATGATCGCACCTAGAAACTGTTACCTGTCCACAATTTAATCAAAGCATTCCTTGCTTTACTCTTTACTTTTTCATAAGAACTCTTGTGGAAAAAAATGATGTCAGCTGCAGTAAATGACATACTTAGTGATGTGTTTGATTTACATGCTGCTGTAATTTTGATTTACAGGCCAACTGACCACTCTTTAAATAGCACTGTGGAATGATATTTTATTATGTTTTAAATTAATATTTACCTGATTACTAATGAAATTGTTCATTTTCCCATACATACATGTACCGTTTATGTTTCCTTTAAAATTAGCCTGTTCATCTCTTTTATTTTTTAATTGGGTTGATCTTACATATTCTGGATATTAATCCTTTGTTCTATAGGTTGCTATTATGTTCTCCCAGTTTTTGGCTTGCCTTTCATTTTCTTTAATAAACAGATGATCTTAACATTAATAAGTTACTTTTTGGCTAGTGCTTTTGGGTTTTGTTTGTGAAATTGTTCCCTCCCAAACTGTCAAAAAGATATTTTCCTATATTCTGAAAACCTTTAGTTTGTCATTCAAATGTAAATCCTTAGTGCACCTACATTTGATTTTTGAGTGTGTGCATGGTGTGAGATAGGGATCTAAATATACTCTTTTCCCTATGCATAATCCCTTTTCTTAACCCCACTTAATTGAATTCTTCATGAAGTGATTGGTAATAACATTTGTCCTATTTCAGATATAGATAGAGAATAAAATTTAAATTCTTAAAAAGAAATTCAGGATATGTATATCATATTCCATAATAGTAGAGCTAACATACTCTGTTGATCCTGAACTGGATTAAGTTAAAACTAAGTGAAGCATGGGTGCCTGCCAAGCTCGGTTGGTAGACCATGTGACTCAATCTCAGGTTTGTAAGTTTGAGCCCCATGTTGAGTGTAGAGATTACCTAAAAATAAAATCTTTTAAAAAAGTAAATAAAGACCGAATTATTCAATTAGATGTTTGCTTGGCTTTAGTTTCAAGAATTGAAGTTTCTACTTTTACAATTTTGTATTAAGATTTATTATTTGAGAGAAAGAATGTGCACAAGTGGGACGGGCAGAGGGAGAGGGAAAGAGAATCCCAAGCCAACTCCTAACTGAGTACAGAGCCCAGTGTGAGCCTTGATCCCTTGACCCTGAGATCCTGACCTGAGCTGAAACCAGGAGTAGGACTCTTAACTGACTAGGCCACCCAGCTGCCCCTATTATTATGCTTTTTAAAGAATGGTTGAGACTCATAAAATATTGAATTTTTTTTCAGAAAATATTAAAGATGTAAAAATTATGGGTGTAATGTTTAATGTTAATATTTTATATGTTTTTTTTTTCTTTCAAGTCTTGATACGTCATCAAAAGCATAGTCTTTCAAAGAAGGCTTATCAGATACCTCTTTATCCTTGTTCTGTATATGTTCAGGTGTCCAGCAGACATTTTGCTGCTGCTACAAAGTAAGTATCTTTTTTTTATTAATTTTGTTTGCTTTTATTTAAAATTTTGATTAAAAAACATGCTTTTCCTATAAAGATGTACAGGGGCATAGAATTATGAAAGTTATCATCTCTGCTTTTTTTTAACATTTTATAATTTAAAAGAAAAATATGACTTATTATAGTAATACTTAACATTTATTGAACAATGCTATTCAGTAACTAATTTAGTCTCCACAGCTATTTTATGTGGAAGCTGTTGTTATTATGTTCTTTTTTTCAGTTGAAAAGCAAGGCATTGAAAGATTATGTAACCTGCCTAGGTTCACAGTAGTAGTAAGTGTTGGAGCTAGGACTTTGTGACATAAGATTTATATTGGTCTCTGCCCCCAGTTCCTGATAGAGGACTTCTAAAATTCCCGTAATCTCCTGAGTGATAGGGATGCTAGGAGCATCTATTGTTGTAATATTTGGTCTTTGACCCAGAGACCTGATACAGAGCTCCTAAAACTCTTGTAATTTTCTGGGTGATAGGAGTATTTTGTCCTAATAAGAAACTTTTGGTAGGCTCCCAGATGGGGACTCGTCTCCAGAAAGACTAAGCCATGATTAGAAGCTTTCAACCCTATCTGTTATCCAGGGAAGAGAGAGGATCTAGACATTGAGTTCAAAATTAATCATGCCTCCATAAAAAATCCCTGTACTGTGAGGTTCTGAAAGTTTCTGGATTGGTGAGCATACATCTGTGCCCAAAGGGTGGTGCATCCAGACCCAATGGAGACAGAAACTCTTGCACTTCCAACTCTTCTGCATCTTGCCCTATGTACCTATTTATCTGTATCCTTTACCATATCTTTTGTTATATAAGAAACTGGTAAATGTTAAATAAGTGTTTCTATGAATTTTGTGAGCTATTCTAGCAAATTATGAAGTCTGTGGAGGGGGTCACAGGACCCCTTGATTTATTTATAGCTAGTTGGCCACAAATACCAGAGAGGCCTTTTGAATTGCTATTGGCATTTGAGGTGGGGGCAGTCTTATGGAACTGAGTCCCTAACTTGTGGGATCTGATGCTAAATCCAGGTAGATAGTATCAGAACTGCCGTTAATTGTTAGATACCTGGCTTGTATCAGATGATTGATTGGTGTGGGAAAAAATCCCTGCATTTAGTGTTAGAATTGTTTCTTATTTAATACCCTGAATACCCTGTCCTGCATCTTGCTTGCTTTTAACTTAATATATCTTGGAGATTGTTTCAGATGGAGCTGTCTAGTTATTTATTTTTTTGTTCTTGAGATATAATTGACACATATTATTGTCAGGTGTCCAACATAATGATTCATTATTTATATGTTTGGGGAAATACTCACCACGGTCTGGTTAATATCTATCACTATACAGAGCTATCACTTTCTTTTCTTGTGATGAGAACTTTTGAATATTTACTCTTCTAGCAACTTTCAGATAGACAATATAATTTTATTAACTATAGTCAATGTGCTGTACATTATATCCCTCTGATTATTTTAAAATTAGAAGTTTGTACTTTTGACCCCCTTCTCCCATTTTACCCACCACGTCTGCCTCTGGTAACCACCAGTCTGTTCTCAGCATCTGTGAATTATTATTATTATTGTTTTTTAAAGATTTCATGCATAAGTGAGATCATAAGGTCTTTTTATTCTCTGACTTGTTTCACTTAGCATAATGCCCTTAAAGTCCATCCATGTTGTCTCAAATGGCAAGATTTCATTCTTTATTTTTATGGCTGAATAATATTTCATTTTATATATCTACCATATTTTCTTTATTCATTCATTTGTCAATGGGCACTTAGGTTGTTTCCATGTTTTGGCTATTGTACATAATGCTCTAATGAACATACCTATAGTGTTTCATTTCATATATCATAATTTAACCATTTCCCTATTTCCCCCTCTGATACATATTTATTTTTTCTATCTTTTGTTATAAATGAATAGTCATGTACATAAATCTTGTGAAAGATTTTGAATGTATTCATGGTATAAACACTGAGAAATAGAATTTTTGAAACAAAAGATGTATGCCCTGCAGACGGAGAGCTCTGTAGTTTCTGCAGGAGCTGAATCCAGGGCTCCAGAGCTGGCCACCGCCGCTGTGGTTGTTCCTCCTGGGGCCTCACGGGGTAAACAACCCCCACTGAGCCCTGCACCAGGCAGGGGGCTGAACAGCTCCCCCAAGTGCTAACACCTGAAAATCAGCACAACAGGCCCCTCCTCCAGAAGACCAGCTAGATGGACAAGTTCCAGGGGAAGTCAAGGGACTTAAAGTACACAGATTCAGAAGATACTCCCCCATGTTTCTTTTCTTTCTTTCTTTTTTTTCTTTTTTTTGCTTTTTGATTTCTGTTTGCTTCCCCCACCCTTTTTTTCCTTTCTTTTTCTTTCTCTTTTTCTTCCCTTTTTTTTCTTTTTTTCTTCCTTTTTTCTTTTTCTCTTTTCTTTCCTTCTTTCTCTCCTCTCTCTTTCTCCTTTTCCCAATACAACTTGTTTTTGGCCACTCTGCACTGAGCAAAATGTCTAGAAGGAAAACCTCACCTCAAAAGAAAGAATCAGAAACAGTCCTCTCTTCCACAGAGTTACAAAATCCGTATTACAATTCAATGTCAGGAAGCCAATTCAGAAGCACTATTTTACAGCTAATGGTGGCTCTAGAAAAAGCATAAAGGACTCAAGAGACTTCATGACTGCAGAATTTAGATCCAATCAGACAGAAATTAAAAATCAATTGAATGAGATGCAATCCAAACTAGAAGTCCTAACGACGAGGGTTAACGAGGTGGAAGAACGACTGAGTGACATAGAAGACAAGTTGATGGCAAAGAGGAAAACCGAGGAAAAAAGAGACAAAAAATTAAAAGACCATGAAGATAGATTAAGGAAAATAAATGACAGCCTGAGGAAGATAAACCTACGTTTAATTGGGGTTCCCGAAGGCACCGAAAGAGACAGAGGTCCAGAATATGTATTTGAACAAATCATAGCTGAAAACTTTCCTAATCTGGGACGCATTCAGATCCAGGAAATAGAGAGATCCCCCCCTAAAATCAATAAAAACCGTTCAACACCTCGACATTTAATAGTTAAGCTTGCAAATTCCAAAGATAAAGAGAAGATCCTTAAAGCAGCAAGAGACAAGAAATCCCTGACTTTTATGGGGAGGAGTATTAGGGTAACAGCAGACCTCTCCACAGAGACCTGGCAGGCCAGGAAGGGCTGGCAGGATATATTCAGGGTCCTAAATGAGAAAAACATGCAACCAAGAATACTTTATCCAGCAAGGCTCTCATTCAGAATGGAAGGAGAGATAAAGAGCTTCCAAGACAGGCAGGAACTGAAAGAATATGTGACCTCCAAACCAGCTCTGCAAGAAATTTTAAGGGGGACTCTTAAAATTCCCCTTTAAGAAGAAGTCCAGTGGAACAATCCACAAAAACAAGGACTGAATAGATATCATGATGACACTAAACTCATATCTTTCAATAGTAACTCTGAACGTGAACGGGCTTAATGACCCCATCAAAAGGTGCCGGGTTTCAGACTGGATAAAAAAGCAGGACCCATCTATTTGCTGTCTACAAGAGACTCATTTTAGACAGAAGGACACCTACAACCTGAAAATAAAAGGTTGGAGAACTGTTTACCATTCAAATGGTCCTCCAAAGAAAGCTGGGGTAGCCATCCTTATATCAGATAAACTAAACGTTACCCCGAAGACTGTAGTGAGAGATGAAGAGGGACACTATATCATACCTAAAGGATCTATCCAACAAGAGGACTTAACAATCCTCAATATATATGCCGCGAATTTGGGAGCTGCCAAATATATCAATCAATTAATAACCAAAGTTAAGACATACTTAGATAATAATACACTTATACTTGGTGACTTCAATCTAGCGCTATCCACACTCGATAGGTCTTCTAAACACAATATCTCCAAAGAAACGAGAGCTTTAAATGATACACTGGACCAGATGGATATCACAGATATCTACAGAACTTTACATCCAAACTCAGCTGAATACACATTCTTCTCAAGTGCACATGGAAGTTTCTCCAGAACAGACCACATACTGGGTCACAAATTGGGTCTGAACCGATACCAAAAGATTGGGATCGTCCCCTGCATATTCTCAGATCATAATGCCTTGAAATTAGAACTAAATCACAACAAGAAGTTTGGAAGGACCTCAAACACGTGGAAGTTAAGGACCATCCTGCTAAAAGATGAAAGGGTCAACCCGGAAATTAAGGAAGAATTAAAAAGATTCATGAAAACTAATGAGAATGAAGATACAACCATTCAAAATCTTTGGGATGCAGCAAAAGCAGTCCTAAGGGGGAAATACACCACAATACAAGCATCCATTCAAAAACAGAAAGAACTCAAATACAAAATCTAACCTTACACCTAAAGGAACTAGAGAAAAAACAGCAAATAGATCCTACACCCAGCAGAAGAGAGTTAATAAAGATTCGAGCAGAACTCCATGAAATCGAGACCAGAAGAACTGTGGAACAGATCAACAAAACCAGGAGTTGGTTCTTTGAAAGAATTAATAAGATAGATAAACCATTAGCCAGCCTTATTAAAAAGAAGAGAGAGAAGACTCAAATTGATAAAATCATGAATGAGAAAGGAGAGATCACTACCAACACCAAGGAAATACAAACGATTTTAAAAACATATTATGAACAGTGATACGCCAATAAATCAGGCAATCTAGAAGAAATGGACGCATTTCTGGAAAGCCACAAACTACCAAAACTGGAACAGGAAGAAATAGAAAACCTGAATAGGCCAATAACCAGGGAGGAAATTGAAGCAGTCATCAGAAACCTCCCAAGACACAAGAGTCCAGGGCCAGATGGCTTCCCAGGGGAATTCTATCAAACGTTTAAAGAAGAAACCATACCTATTCTACTAAAGCTGTTTGGAAAGATAGAAAGAGATGGAGTACTTCCAAATTCGTTCT